TCCTCCCCATCATAGTGAAACCCACGCTGCGCTGAATATTTATGGTACAAGTGAGAAAAGTACTGTTCCTCAAACTAACCCATAAAAACAACAACATACAGGGTGCTATATTTGTTACCATGATAGTAGCTGAAGTTTGGAGAAATAGTCTTGTTCAGGTTTATATATAAATCTTTCTGAGTGTAGGATTCTCCCATTGATAAATGGACACAAATCTGACATCAGGAATCATAGCATTCAAAAACTGGTAGGAGAACACTTCAACCTCTCTGGCCACTCAGTAAAAGACTTAAGGGTGGCAATTTTGCAACAGAAAAGCTTCAAAAACAGACTCCAAGGAGAAACTGCTGAGCTTGAATTAATATGCAAACTAGATACCATTAACTTGGGTTTGAATAGAGACTGGGAGTGGCTGGGTCATTACACCTATTGACCCATGTTAAGTATCCTCACACCTTCTTGTCAGCTTGTCTAAGTGGGCCACCTTGATTATCACTACAAAAGTTTTTTTTTCTCCTGCTGGTAATAGCTCATCTTAATTAATTAGCCTCTTGCAGTTTGTATGGCAACTTCCACCTTCTCTGTATGTGTGTGCGTGTGTGTGCGTATATCTATCTATCTATCTATCTATCTTCTTACTATATGTTCCATTCTATGTATCTGATGAAGTGGGCTATAGCCCATGAAAGCTTATGCTCTAATAAATTTGTTAGTCTCTAAGGTGCCACAAGTACTCCTGTTCTTTTTGTGGATAGACACTAACACGGCTGCTACCCTGAAACCTCCCATTGAGAAGTATCTTTGCCTGTAATGGATAGATCTTCCAAAGTGCTCAGCAGCCAGTGGCTCCCTTTGAAATCTGGCCATTATGGCCTGATTCTAATATCACTTTCACTTATGTAAAGAAGGAGTAAGTGCACTGAAGTATATAGTTAATACCAGTGAAAGTGAAATTGCAATGGGCTCCCACACTCAAGGAATAATAAGAGTCATATGTGTTCTGAAAGCTTACCTCTGACCCTATATAATGGTTTATATAGCATTGGACTTAACTGTGTAGTTGGGAAGTGCCAAAAGGTGCTATGATGAAGGCATTTTTTGTGCATACATTTTAACTTTCTTTGTGGAAGTCCTCTGGCTCCCACCATTTGGTCCTAAACCCAAAACAGTCACTGCTGCCAATGGCCACTGTAGCAAATGTTCTACCCTTATAAATCAAGACTTCCTGGACAATCCTTCCAATCTATTACAAGTGTGTAATAACAAAATAGACTTAACAAAATTGGAAGTGAAAAATAGGCTAGTTTCATGCAGCTCCCAGCTACCTACCTTGTCATGCCTGAGTCATGAAAGTCAATTCCTGCGCCAATAGAGCTAAGTATCACGTGGAGCTATATAAAATTTGCCTTACAATGACATTTGAATAGATCGATGCATGACAGATATCCTCAGCCAGTGTCAGGAAAGACAGTAGCCTGAATCTTGGCAACATCTTGGAACATGATGGATATACCTGAAGGCATAAGAAAGTGTTCATCGGTAAAGAATATTTCAAAATCTCTTGGAAGATAATACAGGTGGCTCTCTCTCATGTCAAGAGTTTTATCTATCTCTTCAAATTCACTAAGTAGCCTCCTGGCTCTGTGTAAGGCACTATGATGGCCAATTAAAAAAAAATGATCATGCCTTTCTGTGGGGGAAGCAGACAGTGTTTTGCATTCTATGGGTCATAAACCTTTGGTGGCAGGCTGTTGACTTAGTTCTGAAACCATCCTACCCAACCTGGGAGGGGGTTGGGGAGGAAGTCATGCCTTGCCACAAAGCAGAACTTGCCACAAAGACAAGAATTTCAGTTTTGTAAAGGATTTTTTTCTTTTCCCAATGTACCCACTCCCATTTTTTGTACAGCATTGGAAAACATATATACTGTAATTATATTGGTGCATGTGTAGGGTCTGTTGCCACATCACTTGGAGTTGATAACTGTGATGGGAGTAGGATCCATGGCCATGTGGAAAAGCAATAGTGCAGTAATCCTAGCCAAATGGACCAGGAGTGTCTGTGCTGAAGGCAGCGGGGGAGAAACCTGAATGGTATCAGAAGTGAAACCAAGCATTTTGCCAGCAATCTTCAAACTAGACTCTTTTAATCAAAGCAATTGCTACAGCAATGCCAAAGACACATAAATTAGACCTTAAATAAGAGTAAGCAGACAAAACCAATACACTGCATTATGAGAGATTGGGGGCGGGGGGAAGACTGCTGCCAGAGTTAGTAAGTGATTCTGTTGGTATATAAAATCATTCAGGAGGCAAATGGGAACTACCTACTATGAAGCATGTATCAAATACTCTGTCTTCATACATAATTAAAAGATCTGAAGATAAAGCACTCAGATGCAATAGGCAAAGCCTGATAAAAATAAAAAATGAATTAAATGGATTAAAGAAAGCAGAAGGCAAAATTTTGGGGAGCACAGAGAAGACCTTCCAGTCAAGATGAACAACATACATTAGCTGTAAGCACCTACCACGTAAAGGCAACTGAACAGACAAAATCAACAAAGCAGGGGTGAGATGTTTGTAAATCTTCCTAGATGAGCAGGGCAGACAGGCAGGGTTAGCTCTAGCACCATGTGCAATTCCCAACAATAAGAAACTGACCCAGGTGCCACCATGCTCTTCTTTTTGGAGGGTTATCCTCTAGAGCAGATAGGCTTCTGACAGCGTTACAGAATAATTTGATTTTTGCATGTGTTGGTTTCTCTGAGCACCCTGAAATGTCCGAATCCTAAATCATAGGAGCAAGGCTTCTATCTGAGCCTCTTTCAATCAACAGTTCATTTGGGTGGATAGGCACTTGTTAACTGGTTTGGTAGCTGAAAGAAACAAAGTAGTTTGTAACCCACATTAGGAGATTGTGGGTCTGTCTCTCCCTCTCCTGGCTGGGCCACATAAGAAGTTAATGTGTTTGCTACAGCTGCCAGTTAGGAGCCTTAGTTTTTGAGCTTGTGCTTTTAATGGTAAAGGGCCAGAATACAAACCTTTTTACAAAGTGAGCTACAAACAGAGGTTAAAGCAAAGGGGAAATATAGAGACATGCAGCTCCTCTTCCTCTGTTAAAAGAAGGAGCTTTGCCTCCTGTGCTTGACTTGAATAGCAATGTTCCCCCCTCCTCCTTGGCTTCCTTCCTTCCAGTTTCAGTCTTCTTTAACCACTAGACACAATTCTCTCTCTTTTTTCAGGGTCTTTTCCTTCCCCTTTGATTTCATACATTCTGTTATTCCTGCAGTCAGTATTCATCTGTCAGCACCAGAAGGAGCAGCAGAGTCCTGAAAAGTGAAATTGATGGGATCCTACTTGGTTCCATTTTACTCCTCCTAGGCAGACTACTTCCCTGAGTAGTTGTATCAGTTTCATTTTCCTGCAGTTCCTAACCGCCTCTGAGCAAATTACACAAGTAGGAGGGAGGGAGGGAGAGCAGGAGCTGTTCTTCAACAGGGAATTTTTAAAATGATAGGTAGTCCAAGAATGTGTAGATCCTGATCCAAATCCAACCCTATGGTTAGGGGTGGTGGTTGGTAAAGGGAGAGCTGATACATGTTTCAGAAGCAGGACACTGTACCTTTAAAAAGTGTGACCTATTGTCATCCCTTAAAAGTAACATTTGGGCAGGTCAGCCAGTGAGCACTTAGCTTGAATCTGGCGCCCTCCTCTGGTCTAGTGAGGAGCAGAAACGGCTAGGTCCAGCTTTCTATCCATTGGAGGCAGTAGCGATAGCATGAGGCCCCTGGCCACGCTGAAGAGGAAAAGGAAGGGGGCGGGGCATCAATGAAAAGGTGAGGCGAGACTGGTCGGTGGTCCAAGGAGTAACAGCAAGAGAAGGGTGCATGTTTGGCTTTATGAAATATAGACAGTATCTGCCCCTCTCTCTGCATTTCCCAAATTGCGTCCTGTCTCTCTAAATGCCACTCTTGCTGCCTACATAAGGGTTAAACCTCACACAATATATTGCTCCTGAGCCTTGACATTTTTGGAAAGCCTTTTAGATGATCATCCCAACATTTCTCTGATGCGGCGTTAAGCAGCCTCCGTGTTTATGCTAATAGGATTGTATTGAATTTTCTGCTGTTGTATATCATCCAAATTGCCTGTTTTCAATAGCATTGAAAAATACATGATGGGGTTTGTTTTATTTTATTAATAAAGGAGGCATCAAAACGTAACACCCCAATACACCTTTAGGAGTCATCGCCCCTCTCTACCAGCGGTTCCTTTGCCTTGCCACAAGCACCTGGGGGAGAAAACCAGCAGGAGGGTCATAGCATTAGAGTGACTGGACTGTAAATGAATCCTGCCTCTCTGCGTGTGTCAGCCCAAGAACAAAGTGGGGTTTTGAATGCCTGGGGTCGCCGCGGGAGGAAGGGTAGGAGAGAGAAGTGGGTGCACGCAGGCAGGCACCAGCGGGCTGAATGAAGGACAGGGGGCTTGGGCAGAGCCGCAGCAGCCAGAGGGGCTCGGAGGGGCGGGGTTAGAGGAGACAGGGCGACCCCAGAGGGCGGCTGGGCTGGGTGCGTGGAGGCCACGCAGCAGCCCCCGGCGCGGCGGGCTCCCTGCCGGGGGACGAGCTGGGGACGCAGCGGCCGGCGGGATGCGGCTGCAGCCCGAGGAGCGGGAGCCTCGGGGGAGGGCTGGGGACGTGGCCGCGGCTGGGTCGGGCGGGGCGGAGCAGGGCGGCCCCGCAGCGGCGGCAGAGCGGAGTCTAGGCAGGCAGGCGGGGTGCAGCGGGGCAGGCTAAAGGCGCGTCGCCATGGCAACGCGCCGTGCGCGCCCCCCCGCCCCTGGGTCAGGCCAGGATTTACAGCCCCACCCTGTGGGCAGCCGCCGGGCGGGTCCACTTCCTGCCTAGCCGCGGCCGGGGAAGAGTTAACGCCGGGGAGGGGCGGGTCTGGCTCCCGGGCCAGACGGCGCGGCTCCTGTTTGTGCTGAAGCCGTGCGCGGCCCCCGGGAGGGGGGATGCGCCGCCCTGTAGCTGGGTCTGAATATGCTGGACCTCGATGCAAGTGGCGCTTCCTCTCGTCCCCGGTGTGAGCAGCAGCAGCCTGCCCGCGGACCTGCCCTCCCACCCCCCGCTCCCGGCCCCGAGTGTCATTCAGCTCCCGCTCCCCAGACCCATCCCACAGGCTACTCGCAATAGCCGCCTGCTGCGTGCGTGAGTGTGAGTGCGAGTGAGTGTGCGGGGATGGGGCTGGCGCGTGTCTCTGTTTACCCGGGAGCTCTCGCCGGGCAGGAGCTGAAGCTGCTGGGTGTTGACTGAGGATCCCTTCCCCCGCAGAACGTGGCTGGGTTTTTCCTTTGCCAAAGGGGAGCAGTTATCACTAATCTGCTCCAGAGGTGGAAGGACACCCTCCGCCCCACCAAAGAGCCGCCGCAAGGGCAAGCCGGCTCTTCGCTGAAGTGCTGGGGCCGCTGGATTAAGTAACTCCCGGGGAGCCGCACTCACTCACTCACTCACGCACGCTCCCGCACGCAGAGCGAACATGAAGGAAAAGCCAATGATAAAAACCGCTAAAATGCAAGGAAACATGATGGTAAGTGGCCGCTGCTGCCGCCTCCAACGACTGTAAGTAATTGTGGGGCTCGTTCCTCGGGCTTGCAACTAGGCTCACCCCCCCCCCTTTAGTGGAAGCATGTGGGGTGCCCCTGGCCGGCTCTTCAGCCCCCCCCCCCCCACTTTCGCTTTGCTTGGAGAGCCCTCCTCTCAGGCTCGGTTAATGGTGAATCGTGGCTGTGGAGTGCCCCTTTTCTAGCAGGGTTTTGCTTAGGCAGAGGCTCCCCGTGTGCCAGGGTCCTTTCTCCTGCCCCTGCTAGGCACTGTGCCAGGGAGAGGGGGATTGACTTGAACCTGTGGGTTTGGAGGGAGCCCCCACTCTGCCCCCCCCCCCCCAACGCAAGCGACTGCTCTGCTGTCTCTGCACTCTGCTGGGAGCTGCTGCTGCCCGGACCCTTGTGGCGAGAGAAGTGGGCACAGGCTGGCTGGGTGACGGCGAGAACCTCGCTCCCCAGGATTACAAAATGTCTGGAGAAGGGGGTGAGGCGGTTTTGGGGGGAGCTGCCGAGCCGAAGTGGATCGCTGCACAGACAACTTTGATAACTTGAGGGCCATAGTGGGGTTTTCCCTCTTCCCGGTTTGCCTCCTGCGTGACTATAGCAGTTGTCTTGATGTATGTGTTTGTTTCTCTGCACATCTGTCGTTCAGCCAACGGGGCTTGGGGGGAAAACCCCCACCAAAGGCGGATGATCTCCCGGAGGAAGTGCCGGTTGCCATCTTGTGCTGCTAGAGAGATGTTTGTCTGTGTTGTCTGCTGTCTTGAGCCGCTTGAGGTGTTTGGGTTTTGCTTGGTTGGGGTAATTTCCCCCCGCCCGCACGCCCTTTGCTTGCATGAGCTGATACTCTGCCGAACTGCAGGGATGCCATGGGTAGTGAAAGTGGATTGCAGCGGTGTGGTGGCGGTCTTTGTGCTGAGCAAGGGATGCCGTGAGACGTGATGTCTTTATAGAGGACTTGGCTTCCAAAAACAACTTATTGTAAATAACCCTGAAGCCTTTTAAAGACACCTGTTGACGATTAAAAACACAAATACAAACATGTGAGATTTGTATTCCGCCTGCCCGCCTCTTAGGGAAATGCTCCCATTTAATGTAACGGGGGCAGCACGCTTTCCCCCCCATCCTGAGACGTGTAAGAAACGGCCAAGGTGTTCTAAATCCCATGGTAAAATCACTCATTTTCTATACTATCAGGACAATCATGTTGCTTTTTCTAGCATTAGTTTTAACAGGAGGTGCCGTGCGATGTGACCTGTGAATTCAAGTAAGGGAGCTGAACAGGAACTTCTGCAAACATTTCCCCCCTGGAATATTACCTTAAATGTGATTGAAACGTATTCTTTTTTATTATGCCTGTAAAAATACTTGGTGCTGGGGTTCTATACCATGCGGGAATCTGCTTTTTTTTCTTAAACTACTGTTGTAAAGGTCATTATAGTCCTGATATACACCACTAAAAGAATAATTCACCGCATGAGGTGATGCTGTCTATTAAGGGACAGTGTTAACCTAATTTACATACACAACATCACAGAATTAATAAAAACCTATAACATATTATCCTTTGGGCTCTACAGTCAAGAAATAATTGGAGGAAGGGATCCCATTACTATTACTTATTCAAACGGCTGTATCTTCTGGTGTTATTTCTCTGTGTGACAAAAATGGATCCATCTAAGCACTTCTGTGCTAATGCATGCGAGACTAGAGTGCCTGATTTAAAATCAAAATAACATTGTAGGAGCTGTCCGCCCAATCAGAGCCTGATGCGATAGGACTCGATGGAGGTTTGGCCACTGACTTCGGGTTAGCAGGGTCTTGTTAAATCGCAACCATAATATCTTATTGGCCACTTAACAGTCTGTCCCCCAACTCCAGTGCCAGTTTTTAATCTTGGTTTTGAAAAAATAATATTTCAAGCTGAATTGGAATGCATACTGAGAGATTTTAGGAGAGCATAACTGTTAAACTGGCATGGGTGACTTAGATCCATACTACTTAACTTTGGGGGTTTGTTTTACTTGTAGGAGAACTTGTTTCTGTTATAATTTGGCCACAAGGACCTATAATTTGGTTTGTGGCAATTGAGCGTGTAGCTAATATTTAAAATGAGGGTTGACTTTTTTTTTTTTAATTTGGTGGACTCAGAATATTTTATCCAGAAAATACTGGAAAGCTTTTACCTTTCCTCAAAGTAACAATTACTGGATCCAATCCTGAAATCTAGGGCAAAACTCCCATTGACTTTAATGGAAATTCTAGCAACTTCAAACTGGTGCATTTCTTATCCTGGCACACTTTTTAAAAAATGTCATTTCAGTAAGTTTCATTTTACACATTTTTATTACTAGGAAAAAATGTAATCTTTGGTCATTCATATTAAAGCCTAATATTTTAAGTGTCCTTGCTAGATAATGCACATGGCAATATTCTTTAAAAAAAAAAAAATTCTGCATGTAGTGTGCATGCCTGTATGTGTTGTCTGAAGTAACTCTGATTGTATTGCAGTATGTATTATCCTAATTACCTGGCAGAATTTGAAAGGTTACTGAAAATTCAAAGCTCGCTGTTTGTTTTTTTGTTTGTTTGTTTTTTGACAGTTTCACTGTTGCTTTGGATCTTGACAAGAAACTAAGTACATATTGATTTTCTTCCTCTCTTTAAAAATCTCTCTTAAAATGAGATTTTTTTTCTTAAAATGATGTGACTGTGTGTGAGAATCTTGGCCCATTGGCCTCTTACCTCACAGTGCACCCTGAAGTGTGGTGATCGCTCATGGAGTCACTACATCTGGGGATGTCTTTTTTTTTTTTTTATTTTAATTAGACCAGCCAAAAGAGAAGTCATACTTGTGAGAGTAAGATACATTTTTGTATCCTTGTGGCAGTCTTTCACAATACGGTTTAAAAAAAAATTTACCTGGACAAGTGTCATTTTTATTTTACTGAATTGTTTCCTATCCATCATTTGAGCTGAGGGACTGTCCTATATGGAAACACAGTTCACAGCCTTGATAATGGAGTGTTTCTTATTTTCATGGGAATGCTTTGGCAAGTGGTCACTTGTTTCCTTTTATAAACTAGGTCATATTCCATGAGCTTGTCAGGATGTTTTTCAAACTATTGTGTGGTAACAGAACTTGAATGATATTGGGCAAACTCTTTGCTCCTGTCATTATATACAAGTATTACTTAATTTTAATTAGAACTTTATTCCCCTCGGTTCCCCATCAATCTGAGCCAAGTCTGGCAAACGAATACTATTCCCTCAACTAAGCATGTTTAATAAATCTATAGCTCCCTGGCTTTGCAGTGGCTGTCACCTCACACATGCCAATTTTCTTATATATTTGCAACAAAAACGATAGATGACTGTTTATTTTAGAAAAGGATCTGCAAAGTAGTGAGCCCTAGAGGACCAAAGTCTGCCCCCGCTTACACCAGTGAAAACCCAGTGGGCCAAATCCACTGAAGTCAGTGGAGTTGCACCCACATTTGCCAGTTGTGAACTTGGCACGTAGAGTTCAGTGAGAGAATGGCTTTAGTGAAGTTGTACATGAATAACGGAGGGCAGAACTGTATGTAAGGGAGAGTTTTATGACTGTTTTGTCCAAGCAATTTATTATTCAAAGGAACAGTGAGAGGAACATGCACATCAATAGAACCCGTTGTGTCTGTTAGCAACAGAGTGGTGGTGCTGTCCAGTTCTTGTTCTGAATTTCATCGTCTGGCTACAACAGAGGTCAGCACCTTTCAGAAGTGGTGTGCCGAGTCTTCATTTATTCAATTTAATTTAAGGTTTCGCGTGCCAGGAATACATTTTAATGTTTTTTAGAAGGTCTCTCTCTATAAGTCTATATATTATATAACTAAACTATTGTCATATGTAAAGTAAACAAGGTTTTCAAAATGTTTAAGAAGCTTCATTTAAAATATAATTAAAATGCTGATCTTACGCCGCCGGCCCACTCAGCCCGCTGCCAGCCTGGGGGTTCCGTTCACCTATGCCGACAGTAGGCTGAGTGGGGCCTGCGGCTGGGACCCTGGCTGGCAAGGGGCCGGCAGCCAGAACCCCAGACCGGCAGTGGGCTGAGCGGGGCCGGCGGCTGGGACGCTGGCTCCTGCCAGCCGGGGTCCCAGCCGCAGGCCCCGCTCAGCCCACTGCCAGTCTGAGATCCCTGCCCTGCCCACATAGATGGGTACCTACCTTCTTCCTGGTTCTAGCCCATTCTCTTCCTTTCTCTCTGCACTGAGCTGAGGGTGGGAGTGCACTGAGCACAGGGCTGGGGTGAAGGAGCAGGCTGGGGATTGGGGTGTAGGGTCTGGGCAGGAGCTAGAATAAGGGAGGGGGCTCAGGTTTGGGGCAGGAGGTTTGCGTGTGGAGTGCTTACCTGGGCAGCTCCCACTTGGTGCGAGGGGTGCAGGAGCTCTTGTTTGGTGCTCAGGGTCGGGGTGGCATGTGAGGAGGGTGCAGGAGTCCGGACATGGGGTGGGGGGAGGCTGGGTATGTGTGGGGGGTGCTGGAGTCAGGGCTGGGGTCGTGGGGGGTGCAGGGGTCAGGGTAGAGGGCTGTGTGGGGGGAGGTGCAGGGGGCTGGGAGCACCCCTATGACCCTAGTCCACACCCCCAGCCCTCTGCCCACAGCGGCTCACAGCAGGGGGCTGGAGGAGATATGCCCTGATTCTAGCCCCCTTCCCCAAGGCCCTGTCTGCACCTCTTCTCCGCCTCCTCCCCCAGCAGCTCCGCTTCTCCCCCCCTAGAAAGGGCCATCAGCTAATGGGCAGCAGAGAGGCAAAGGAGGAGGGGCAGGAACCCAGCACGGTGGGGGAAGAGGCAGAGGGAGAGAGGACCTTGGCTGCTCTGCAGCAGCAGCCGGCAGGACCAAGCTTCTTCACCCTGCCCCGGTGGGGGGGGGGGGACGGGGACGGGGAAGAGTGGGCCGGAGCAGGCAGTATTTTTAATGGCGTGCTGCTACCTGCTGG